TCCATTTATTGATTTCACACAGATACATACAGGTCATTTCCTAAAAAAGGGAAATGTACTATTAACATACTATTACATGTATGTGATTATTACAGATGTAATTCATATTTCAGAGTAGCAATTGCAAATTACTTCGTGTAATCAAGATGAGAGACCACGGCTATAAAAGCGAAGGTGGATTTGGGAAGCCTGTCGCAGCCATGTCCTGCGGAAGGTGCAAGATTGATAAGGAGAGTTTTCAGAATTCAGCGTATATTGCGGGACAGACAGGATCCTTTAGCTCAGCGCGACAGTGTGCTCATAGAGAGATATCGATTTTCCCGTGAGGGTATTATTTACTTAACCAACTTGTTGACGAGGGGGTGCAGGACCACCACCTGTCTTTTTTTGCTCTGCCCTTTTCTTGGTTGCTGTTATAAACAAACAGATTATTTCAGGGTCTCTTTCCAAGAGACTAAAAGCAATATAAGTGATAAATATTACCATTCTGTAGAATATTCCTATATTTCACTTTTACCTGTTCCCATGTTCTAGTGGGTCCTGTTGTGGCTCTAATGTGAAAGGGGATATAATATAACATATTATAATATAATGTAATATAATATTGGATAATATAGTGTAATATAATAAATCTACCCTACCGCCTACTGGTGTTGGCCAGAGGGGCCGATGGCGCGATATGGCAGCCTGGCTTCTGTCAGTCTGCCCCAGGGCAGCTGTGGCTACAACCGTAGCTGCCTCCACCAGTGTGTGAATGTGAGAGTGACTGAATAGTGGCATTGTAAAGCGCTTTGGGTGCCTTGAAAAGCGCTATATCAATCCACTCCATTATTATTGTTCTTATTAAATTACTTACGAGTTTAATTTGTCAGCAACTTTCTGCCAGCCCTCTCTCCTTGCTTTTGCAGCCTTTGCAGTGTTCCCTTGCGTTTTAATTAAACTCTGAAACTCCTGAAATCCCTCACTCAAGAGTTCTTGCTCTGCTGCCGAAAAATACCGAGCCGAGCGCGCTCCGTCGACATTTTCGCCGACCAATCAGAGGGTTGCCGATCAATGTTTCTACTATCGATGCGTAGCCCCTTTTACGACACCCAGTGATGTCACATTACTGCGTCCAGCTGTACTAATCGTCAACAGCAGGTGTGTTCGGGGAACCGGATTAGCGCGCTCACGGTTAGCGCGATGGTTTGGTCTTGGATGTTTCATTTGATCTTGGATGTAGTGAGCGACGTACGAAGCACAGGGCCCTGATCATGAATCCTACATCAGACACAAATGGGACAACATTCCCCCTACAAAAGTTCAGCAACTGGTCTCCTTAGTTCCCAAAAATCCATGTTCAGTGTTGTTAAAAGAAGAGGGGATGCTACACAATGGGGGGGAAAATGCACCTGTTGAGACTGTCATTGCTGTCAAAATCAAGATGAACTAAATATGACAAATATATCATTTTCAGTCTCTCCTTTTGCCTTCAAAACTGCCTTAATTCGTTGTGGCACAGATTCAACAAGGTGCTAGAAACATTCCATAGATATTTTGGTCCATTTTGACATGATGGCATCACATAGTTGCTGCAGATTTGTCAGCTGTACGTCCATGATGTAAATCTCCCAGCTCTGGACAGCCCAAAGGTACTTCGTTGGATTGGGTTCTGACTGTGGAGACCATTTGAGTACCATGAACTACTTGCAATGGTCAAACCAGTTACTTTATTTGACATGCTGTGTGTTCTCACTGGATGCATCCATCACTGTCTTCATAAAGCAATGGACTCAGGTAGGCTGTGAAAATCCCTGTAGATCAGTAGTTTCTCAAATGCCCAGACCAGACCATCTGGCCCAAACAGCAATGCCAATTTCAATGTCAATTAAATAACCTTTCTTCTCCACTCTCTGATAGTCAGTTTGACCTTCAGTAGGTTGTCTTGACCATGTCCACATGCCTAAATACACTGGTGTCATGTGATTGACTGTTTACTTTAATAAACTGTTGAACACCAGCTATTTCGTTAGGTATATGTTCTACTGTAAATAAAATGTTTTTGAGCTGTGCCAATCATTGAATTTTGTTTTTTTTATTTACATTTTACTTATTGTTCCAGCTTTTTAAAATTAAGGTTGTAAATTTGTTTATTTCTGTTTTGTAGGACCGAGGCCATGCCACAGATATCAGGAAAAGTTAAAATTAAAAGTAAAGAAATTATTGAATGACTTTTGGGCATCAAGTAAAAACCTGTTTGAAGAAAACAAGAAGCCAGATCTGTTGTACATTTCTCTTATATTAGACACACAGAGCAATGCTTCTCCAACTAAAATAAAGAAACTGAAGAAAAAGAAAAGCAAGCTGAGTCGCCCTAAAAAGCTAAGGACATACATCCCTGAAGAGAAACCAGACATTTCTCCCAGTGAACTGTTGAAAACAGATAAAAACATACTCTTGGTTGGAAAACCTGGTATTGGAAAGACAGCACTGACTCATGAAATGCTGAGACTCTGGGCAGAAAGAGAAAGTGGTGAGCTTGATTACATGTTTTACTTTGACATGAGGGAAAAAGCACACATCATGAATGTTAAAAACTTGGAGGATCTGCTTTTCACTGTGTTCAGTGAACCAGATGAAGGCAAAGATGCGGTCTTACAGGATATAAAGAGACACTCTGATAACGTTACAATCATTTTTGATGGACTCACAGATATCTCTTCATCAGTGGTGGAGAAACTTCTGAACAAAGACCTACTGCCGCTCGCAAAGATCATCATAACATGCAGACCAGATGATGAGGATGAAGACTTGTTTTCTGGGGACTTTGACAGAGTGGAGGTGAAAGGCTTTAGTGAGCAGACTATAAAAACATACTTATCTGCAACACTCGGTGAAGATCAGAAGAAAGTTTTGAGTAACTTGGAACTGATAACTCTTTGTCATGTCCCCATGTATGCACTGATGGTGGCTGCTTGCTTTTCATCAAAAGATGCTCCACAGCCATGTACAATAACTGAGATCTACATCAATATTGTTCGATTCTGCCTTCAGATAAACAGCAAAACAAAGAAAAAAGATCTAAATTCCTTCATCAGCACCAAGACAGAAGAAATTCTGTCTCTGGCTGAAGTTGCTTTTCTTGCAACTCAACAAAAAACTGTGAATCTGACAGACCTGACCTGTAAAGACATCTGTGTCCTGTCCTTCCTGAAACCACTTCTCATTAAGGAGGCCGTGACTGAAACAATAACCACATATGCATTCCTCCATTACACAGTACAGGAGTTTTTTGCAGCACTGTGGCTCCTGAAGAATCCTGATAAAGTCAGAGATGTTTTTCAGCAGTGCCTCACAGAGGAGAAGAAACACATGAAACATCTGATCCCCTTCATGTGTCGATCTGTTGAATGAGAAGAGCCCAAGTTTGATGAAGCATCTGATTCCAGATCAGGACCTGAAGAATACATCTAACTGGTTCTTCAAGGAGCTGATTAACACATTTCTTCCTCATCTGTGTGAGCAAGAAGAGGCTGATACTGAGGACAGTGGGCTCCATGTCCACATACTGTTCGTATGCCAGTGCTTGTATGAGTCCCAGAGTCCTGAAGCATGCGTCTACCTTCTAGACAAACTGGACTACCATCTTGACCTCAGTGGAGACAGTCTGGATCCTTACCCTTGCTGTGCTGTGGCCTTTGTGGTCACTCAGTCAAAGGAAAGGAAAATAAGGCTGAACCTCGAGGACGTGATCATATCAGAACAAGGAATGAGACAGCTGTTTGGATGCCTTGAAAATGTTGAGTGGTATGAATTTGGGTTTTTTTTTTGTTTTTTTGGTTTCAACACACAGTGAGAATTTTAATGCTGGTTAGTTTCATAACGATCTCTTCTTTCAATTATAGGTATAACCTTCTGCCTCAACAGCTTTGGAAAGCTTTCCTTCTCAGCGAAGAGCAGATGGACTTCGTAACCTTACTTAGTTTTGATGGAAATCATTTACACCTTCCAACTCAAGGTGAAAAGCAGCTGTTTGAAAGAGCTGTGGAAGTCATGCAGTGGATGTCTACAAAGGTTAATGTCTGCCTCTACTGGGACAGAGAAACTCCTGCCTGCCAGAGTCTGTGTGAGTCTCTGTTAGAGGCTTTGCCATTCATCAGCTCACTCAGGTATGTAGCTTTGGCTCTTGCATATTAAATAGTCTGCTTGGTTTTATCCAGTCTTTTGATAGTAAACTTAAAATACCTCTGTTTGTGACTTTTTTTTAACAACAATATATCAGAATTTAACATTTTAGCAGAACAGGTGAACAGCTCATTTAAAGTTGAGTCCTTCTAGTGCTCAGTCTAAGGAGCCCGTCCATCTATCCAACCACTCATTCATCCTTCCATCCATTCTCCATTCCCGTAAGGAGTCTAATTAAATTAATAATTCCATGATTCAGAATCCGACAGGTCCCAGGCTGGTGTTTATCTTGTTGAATTTAAAATTCTGATGTCTGTTATTTTTATTATTCTCCTTTGGAATCACAGACATTGTGCACAACAAGTCTATATGTGTAGCACTAGCACGTAATGTATCAAGATTTGTGCTGAAGACTAAAGGTTTTACAGAATGTACAACAGAAATGTGTCTAATCAGTTCTGAAATTCTGCTATTCAGCTTCAGATGTCCAGTTTTTTGGAGCCATGAGAAATACCATGGGACACTGGAGAAGGAGCAGGAGAATCTGTTCATGGATTTATGCCTGAAAGCAGCACTTAATAACGGAGCAAAGTTTTACAACGTTGCGAAGAAGCTTCTTTCATTGTTTCTTGTTAAAGCTGAGTTAGAAAACATCCTTCTTGATTTATATCAACATATTAAAAGCAGAGGATTTTCAGTTAACTTTGAAACACTGAGGCCGTGTTTTCAGTCCACTCCTGCAGTCTGGTCCATAAATCTCTCAGAGAGAAAGACCTCCAGCCTCCTGGAAGTGCTGAAACTCCAACCAGAGAAGAAACAAGTGAAGCTGACAGGCTGCTCACATGAAGAGAGTGAATTGAGGAGTTTCCTGCAGTGTCTGCCTTATATCTCACAGCTCAGGTAAATGAATTGTACTTTGCATGATTAACTCTACATAAAATCTCTCCAAATTATACTTTTTTGCAACCACTTTTTGATTTTCATAAGAACCACAACCTCTCCTACAGATTTTTAGTGAAAAGTAATTCATTTATCCTGAATATAACAGTTTGTCTTGAGCTTTTGCAATACAACTTACAAACAAACTTACAACATCATACAGTACAACAACCTGTGAAATGTGATGGATCATGAGAAAAATGAGCTCCTGACTAGGGATGGGTATCGAAACCCGGTTCTTGTTGAGAACCGGTTCCCACTGTTTCAATTCCTTGGAATCGTTTGCCATTTTTGCAAACGATTCCCTTATCGATTCCAGTCGCCCCGAATGACGTCACCACGTTGCGGAGCGTCATTTACCTGGCAGGAAACACGGCGTAAGCGGCTCAAACGCTCAAAAGTTTGGTTATACTTTACGAGAACGGATGACAACAGGGCAACTTGCAATACTTGCAAAGTAGATATTTCATTTAAGGGAGGAAACACTACGAATATGCAAAAGCATTTGCTCACAAAACACACGATAACCTTAAATGAATGTCGTGTTTTTAATTCCGCTCCGGACTCGTGAATCTCAACCCAGCAGCAGCGGTAACGTTTGCACGTCCTCTCCCGTTAATGCGGCAGGTAAATAATCAACTAACAGTGCATATTATGTTAGCGCGATCTGCCTTATTACAAAACCTGCCATTACTGTGCATTTAGGTGACCATGATGAGAGAGACAGACAGAGTCTGGCTCAGATGCTGGCAGTTCTCGCTGCAGTCTACCGGTAGCGTCTCCTTTCAGGCCAGGATAGACGAATGTCACCGAGCAGTGACTAAGTTTGTGGTAAAAGGCTTGCACCCATTTGCCACAGCAGATGCCCCCGATTTTCGGTAAGTGAATGTGTTTAATTGTAGGCAGGGACATTACTGGATATTCTTGTGTAATTGCTACAGAATAATTTATGTTATACTTTGTTATTGCTACAGAAGAATATTTATTTTATTATTTTACATTTACAATTTTTTTTCCTGGGGACCCTGTGACACCCCATTGAAGAGCCGTAGGCTGGATCTCTTAAGATCTCACTGTTGGGTTTGTAAGGCCATGTTACTCCTAAATTTCTATCTTGTTCAAAGAGAAGATATAAAACAAAGTTCTAAGCTAATCGACCTTAGTGTTCTCCTTTTTTAAAAAGAATCGATAAAGAATCGAATCGTTAAACAGAATCGAAAATGGAATCGGAATCGTGAAAATTTTATCAATACCCATCCCTACTCCTGACATTGTGTTTTACATCATCCACTTTTTTTAGAGGGTCAATTTTAAGCTAGCTGATGGACTGAAATTCAGTTTAAATCACTTACCCAGCTCAACGTTTTTTGAACTGCCTGAATGGCCATTTTAAGGAAACTAACAAAAGAAAAGTGACTAAAGGGAAAGCTATCCAGGGCTCAGAGCTGGCAACATGCAAACAGCCCTCATACGAACAAAGGATCAAAGTGATTATGACCAAAGTACTTATTGGTAAAATAATGGAGACAAGTGAAAAAAGACTAAAGGGTCAATGTCCTATTATGTGGCATGTCACACAGAGACTGAGTATGTCAGCATACTCTATCTGGTGGAGGGGTTGAACGTGAGCAATAGCTTCTCTTCCAGTTTGTTCCTCCTGAGAACTCTTGGGAAGTGGAGACACTGTTGGGATGTCTGTTCATTACAAGATGGAGTCTATCAGTAGTGTGTGGTTGGATTTATGAAGCTGAGATCAAATACTCACTAAATGTTTCCTTCTCATTGTTCCAGTGTTGACACTAGCTGTTCAGATAAAGAAACCAGGTTCTTTGGGAATCTGTTCTGTGCAGCAGCAGAGAGAGAACAGCAGACAGGAGAGGAGATACTGGAGCTGTTATCATCAGTGTGCATATATAAAACATTCCCTCTGAAATGGAAATGGTGTGATTTTCTCATGGACCTGTACTCTTATAAGACTAAAAAAGGCTTGAGTGTCCTTCCATCATTACAGTCAGTTTTCCAGTCAACTCCTGCCGTCTGGTCCATAAACCTCTCAGAGAGAAAGACCTCCATCCTCCTGGAAGTGCTGAAACTCCAACCAGAGAAGAAACAAGTGGAGCTGACAGGCTGCTCACATGAAGAGAGTGAAGTGAGGAGTTTACTCCAGTGTCTGCCTTATATCTCACAGCTCAGGTAAATGTACTGCACTAACATGATTAACTACATAAAAGCTCTCCAAGTTATATTTTTTGCAACCACTATTTGATTTTCACAAGAACCATAGAATGTTTGTCAATACTTGCATTGGCTTGTACATATTATGAACTAATAACTGGACAAATGCAGTTTACCAAGTTGAGCTGATAAATAAAAATACCAAACAGAAGAGTTTTTGTGGAACCATCGCAAGCAATGCATGGGTGATAGTGTTGTGGGACTTTGATATTAATCGACTTTTGAAATATTCATAAATAAAAGGGCAAGCATGAGTCTTGATCGCTCATATGGCAGTGACGTGCAGCGGCATGTTCATCCTACTTATGACGTGCAAAGTAGACTAAGTAGGTGACATAAAAGAAAAAAAAGAATTTGGGAGCAGCGTTTGAGATACTTTTTTACGTTATCATGGGGTCACAAGCCAGTAAAACACATAAGTTAACTTAAAGAAACGATTGTACGGTTATGCGGCCAGGTTTCAACAGTATTGGAAGGAGCTGGCAAAATGAGAAATTAATGTTATGGAAGATCTCTTTTTGTGCTGATACTTTTAAATATCTTAGATCATAATCCTGCCTACACCATTAAAATGGCTGCTCCAAAACAAGTCAAAAAATTTTGTTAAAGAAAATTAGAGAACTGGAGGCTATTGGAAGGCCTCAAACCAGATGGTGGACTCCTGAAGGGAGCCGTCAAGCTGAAGAAAGAGTTTTAACAAGCTTGTTCAGCCTGTGGGACTGCAGAGGCAACTGACAGCTACTACTGGATTATGACTTCAACAGTAACTGAAGGAAAAACTTGTGGAATGAGTTCAATGACACCATGGAACAAGACTTTCGGTGGACATCATGCAGAGATCTGAGCCAGTGCCTCTTCACCTTGGTTTTAGGAAGAACAGTAGAGTTTTCATCCTGATTTTGGAACAATGGACCAACTCTTCATCCTCTTGAAGGGACGTGAGTTGGTTCAAGCAGTCCACATGTATTTGGTGGACTTAGTGAAGGCATTGAACTGTTCCTCTGGGATTCCTTTATTGGGTGCTTTAGCAGTACAGGTTATCAGGCCTGTTGTTATGAGCTTTTCAGTACCTGCACAATCACAGTAAGCGCTTGATTGCCAGCAAAACGTCAGAATCATTTCTACTGGGTGTTGGACTACTGGGTCGTCCACCTAGCCACCTACAAGGAGGCTAGGTGGAGGTCACTTACCTAGAAGTTGATCTTATTTCTGCGTTTTGCAGATGTTGTGGTTCTGTTGGCTTCATTAGATGGTTTGCAGTGGAGGGGTTTTAAGCCAAGTATAAAGTGGTGAGAATGAGAAGCATCCCGAAATTTGAGGCCATGGTTCTTGGTTGGAAAGGAGTGGAGCTTCCACTGTTGGTTAGAGACGTTTTGTTGCCCCAAATGGATTTCAAGTATCTTGGGGTCTTGATCATGAGTGAGGCGAGAGGGAAATTGACACCTCAGGTGACACATCAGACATATTGAGTGTAAAAGCAAAGCTGTCAATTTACTGGTCAATTTACAGCCCAACCCTCATCTATGGTCATGAACTCTGGGTAGAGACAGAAAAATTGACATCCAAAGGGTGGGTGTGTGAGGTCAGATATTTAGGAGGGAATCAGAGTAGAATCATTACACCTAGACAATAGTATAATATATCAGAGTGAGTTTTCAAAGTTTTGTAGTGCTCTCACATATGCTAAAATTGCCAAAGACTTTAAAATGCATCTCCATAAACTTTATATAGCCGCTTGAAGTTACTCATTGATTGCAGGCTCAAAATGTTTCTTCCTTTTTGTTCCAGTGTTATTCCGTGGAAGTTAGATGAAGAAATCAGGTTCTTTGGGGGTGTGTTCTGTGCAGCAGCAGAGAGAGAGCAGCAGACAGGAGAGAAGATACTGGAGCTGTTATCATCAGTGTGCAGATACAAAGGATTTCCTGTCAAACAGAAATTGTGTGATTTTCTTGTGGATCTGTACTCTTATGAGACCAAAACAGGATCGAGTATTCTTCATTCATTACAGTCAATTTTCCAGTCAGCTCCTGCAGTCTGGTCCATAAACCTCTCACAGAGAAAGACCTCCATCCTCCTGGAAGTGCTGAAACTCCAACCAGACAAGAAACAGGTGAAGCTGATAGGCTGCTCACATGAAGAGAGTGAAGTGAGGAATTTCCTTGAATGTCTGCCTTATATCTCAAAACTCAGGTAAGCAAATTGTACTTTGCATCATTAATGCTACATCAGATGCTTTGAAAATGATTTATAGATGTATTTTAAGCCAAAAAGTTTGGTATTATTGTACGGTTTAAGTATTCATATAAATGCAGCACAAAAAGTAAGAAATTTTATCTTTGGTTGATTATTTATTTCTTTGCTTCTTAGCAATACATCTCATACTGTTGGAAAGCCTGTGTATTACAAGTAAGGAAAATGTTTTGTGGGTTGAACACTTGAGGGATCAGTTGGGCATGCTGTTCATGGCAGAGTCAACAACACAGCTACATTGGCTGACTTGCAAGAATGGGATGCCATCCCAAGGCAGTGTGTGACCAAGCTGGTGACCAGCCCAACCAGGAGGAGGTACCAGGCTTTTGTGGTTGTGTATGGTTCTGCCAGGTGCTACTGAGGCACCTGTTTATTAAATGAATCAATTGTTATATTGCAAATATGTCTTGTTTCTTCAGACTTCAATCCTCCAATTCAATAAATGACACCTTTCAAAAGTGAATAGCAGAATAGGCAGTTTGGTATTGGCAGAAAAGATTTGGCAAGTTTTGCTCACCCCACAAATGCAGTTTCCTTACAAATGTGGCCCCATTTGAGGGGAAACAAAGCATGTTTTCAACAGGACTTAATGCCAAAAAGCATTGTTACCGCAAAGAAATAATTGACTAAACGCAAATTTCTTCACTTTTTCTGTTAGTGTTTGTGTTGTGAGTCAGAAACAGTCTAAAAACAATGTTCAGCTGCTCTGATGGAAGACGGCTTTAAAATGGACTTTCATTATATACAGGACACACATGGACAAGATGGAGTCCATCAGTAATGTGTGGTTGTTTATGCAGCTCAGATGAAATCATCACTAAATCGTTCCTTCTTATTGTTCCAGTGTTGTTCCTTGGTGGTCAGATCTTTATGAAGGAACCAAAAGAACCTTGATTATTCTGTTCTGTGCAGCAGCAGAGAGAGAACAGCAGACAGGAGAAAAGATACTGGAGCTGTTATCATCAGTGTGCTCATATCAAACATTCCCTTTTAATGACAGAGACATTTCTGATGAATATCAGTGTGACTTCTTGTTGGATCTGTACTCCCATATGAAGGCCTATGAGTCTAAAACAGGCTTGAGTGTCCTTCCATCATTACAGTCAGTTTTCCAGTCAGCTCCTGCAGTCTGGTCCATAAACCTCTCAGAGAGAAAGACCTCCATCCTCCTGGAAGTGCTGAAACTCCAACCAGAGAAGAAACAAGTGGAGGTGATAGGCTGCTCACATGAAGAGAGTGAAGTGAGGAGTTTCCTTGAATGTCTGCCTTATATCTCACAGCTCAGGTAAATTAATTCTACTTTACATCATTAATCCCAAAAGCTGATTCTGTCTGTCTGGATGTAGCATTTTTTGTGGGCGAAATATTCCATCACTCATCCAAGTGACTTCTTCAGTCTTAGCTGGCTGCAGCTGAATACAGTACATTGGCATAACGATTGAAACTAACAACCCTTGGTGAGTCCTTCCTCGACATTCAAGTGTGTGTATGAAAGCACTGGGCACAGGTACAAGACACTGTTTTGATGATTGTAGTGAGGCTCATTTAGTGAACAACGGGTAGCACAATTGGTCGCTCGTCCCTGCAGATTGCTTAACCAAGTGGCCCATCATTGTATGAATTTTTTGGTTGCTTGAACTGCTATTTTAATTACATCGTGGTAGTGAATAATAATAATCAAGCAACAATTAACTGAATGTTAATGTTCTTACCCTGTGGTTTAACTTCTACAGCACAAGTCTTGTAATTAATTTGCAACACCATTGCCTTGTCAATAATAAGCCTGTGTGCTTTTGATTGGTAATATAACTACCATTATTAAAAATTAAACAATGAAGCAACCACCAGGGAAAATAAACCTGGTCCACAAACACTAGTAAAGGAATCAACAAATGTGCTCTGAAAGCTAATCTACAGATATTATCTCCATTTTCCACATACCTGTGCCGGTCACTGCCATCTGCAACCAAGATGAGAGCAAAATGCTGTGAGAGACTGGACAGTGGGCTACAGGCGCACCTTATAATAAAGTTAGAGGAGATTCGGAGAAGTGACTGTATTTACAAGCACTACTCCAAAGTGAAATACTTACCACAAAGAATTTCTCCCTACAGTTATGAGTAAGGAATACAGTTAGAAATATGAACAAGATGGAGTCCATAAGTAGGTTGTATTTATGTAGCTAACATCAAATCATCACTAAGTGTTTCCTTCTTATTGTTCCAGTGTTCATCCTCCAGTAGAATTTTATAAAGAAATCAGGTTCTTTGTGAATCTGTTCTGTGCAGCAGCAGAGAGAGAACAGCAGACAGGAGAGAAGATACTGGAGCTGTTATCATCAATGTGCAGCTTTGAAACATTCCCTCTAAATAACAGAGACATGGGTGTTGAAGAAAATGAATATCAGTCTGACTTCCTGCTGGATCTGTACTCCCATGTGAAGGACTGTGAGACTAAAACAGGCTTGAGTGTCCTTCCATCATTACAGTCAGTTTTCCAGTCAGCTCCTGCAGTCTGGTTCATAAACCTCTCAGAGAGAAAGACCTCCATCCTCCTGGAAGTGCTGAAACTCCAACCAGAGAAGAAACAAGTGGAGCTGAGAGGCTGCTCACATGAAGAGAGTGAAGTGAGGAGTTTCCTGCAGTGTCTGCCTTATATCTCACAGCTCAGGTAAATAAGTCATCATTTCTGTTACTATATACTGTATCTGTTCAGAAATGCTTTGCTGGGATATTTTAAGCTAAACAAATCCAAAAATTATTTTTACAAAATCCAATAGTGATATATTTTTTCATCATTATTGAAACGATATTTGTGACTTCATTTATATGTTGTCATATTTCAGTTTTATTTCAGTTCTTCCCTTATTTAAGAGGGAAACATTGCGCCCTGTAAACAACTGTGTTTATTAGACCTTTTCTTCAGCTGAAACATGTGCAAACATACATAGAAATACAGCATAGAGAGTAGAAACAGTTTGTAAAATTCTAACAACCTTTTTAACAAAGCCTGAACTCTTTGGCTACGTTCACACTGCAGGTGAAAGCGCATCAAATCCAACTTTTTTGACCCTATGCGACCCATATGCGATCATGGTATGACAGTGTGAACGGCACAAATCCGATATTGTCAAATCCGTCCTGGGTCACTTTCGTATGTGGTACTGAATCCGATACATATCTGATGTTTTAGAAAGCAACTGCTGTTTGAACGGTCATGTCGCATTAAATCCGTCTTTTACGTCAGTGACACAAGACAGACGCCAATTATCAGCGCCGGAGAAGACATCGTGAACGCTTCCTGGCCATCCGGTGTAGATGTCAGTGAAACTGTTAGGAAGACAACGTGAACATTTTATTTGTACTGTATAATCTGCAGATTCTGACAGAAATCTGCAACTATCCTTTGAAGCACCGCTCCTCTCTAAAACAGCAATAAGGATCATTATTAGGCCATATGTAAATAACAAAATAACTTTATAACTTAAAGCAAAACTGGGAAACATAAAGTCCGAAACAAGTCTTTATATTAAGGGCTATCAGTCAAACAATACTGTTTGGTCTGAGTCTAAACAGAGCGCGTTGTGTGTGACGTCTTCTTTTGCACATGCGGGCCGCTTTGAGGGTTCACACTAGAGCACGTTTGCTGTCACATTTTATTTGTAGTGTGAACAAGCAGACAGAAAAATCAGATTTGATCAAAAAATCGGAATTGAGCATTAAGACCTGCAGTGTGAACGTAGCCTTAGTGTCAGGGCTAACAAGTGGGTGGATTCAGACGTAGAGTTGGAGGAGCTCAACAGTGTGTTTATTTACAGTGCCAAAAATATTTACAACAATCTCAACAATGTGCAGGGGGAAAAGGCATTCTGGGCAGGGGATCCAAAGTGTCCAAAGTGTAGAGTGCTCTCACTCTCTCACACTCAGGGTCAGGCTCGTGACACCACAGGAGAAATTCCAAAAAAACTGTGCATAGGGAAATAGACGGTCAAAATCTGCAACGGCACAGGCAGAGCACAATGCAGTCAAGGCCAGGGTTACAACTAACTGTTTCAGTTTAACAATCCAGTGATTGAAAAAGGAAATTATAAGCCATCAATGAATGCACAAGTAAAATAGTAAACACCCCTTCCAACCTAATTCAGAAACTGAGTAGGAAGGTGAAGCTACTGTTGTACAAGATATGAAGTGTAGATGTTGTTGTTCCACTCATGTTCATCACAAACCACAAACAGCTACACTTCAGTGCGCAGTGATTGCACACACAGGATTAGTGTTTGTGTTAGAGCACTTTGCTCTCGCTCTGCAGGCCTACTTGTTGTTCCTAGAGTATTTAAAAGTAGAATGGGAGGCAGAGCCTTCAGTTTTCAGGCCCCTCTTCTGTGGAACCAGCTTCCAGTTTGGATTCAGGAGACAGACACTATCTCTACTTTTAAGATTAGGCTTAAAACTTTCCTTTTTGCTAAAGCATATAGTTAGGGCTGGACCAGGTGACCCTGAATCCTCCCTTAGTTATGCTGCAATAGATGTAGGCTGCCGGGGGATTCCCATGATGCATTGAGTTTTTCCTTTCCGTATTTCTCACTCACTATGTGTTAACTAGACCTCTCTGCATTGAATCATATCTGTTATTAACCTCTGTCTCTCTTCCACAGCATGTCTTTATCCTGTCTTCCTTCTCTCACCCCTCCTCCGAGCCTGGTTCTGCCGGAGGTTTCTTCCTGTTAAAAGGGAGTTTTTCCTTCCCACTGTCGCCAAAGTCTTGCTCATAGGGGGTCATATGATTGTTGGGTTTTTCTCTGTATCTGATTATTATACGATCTACTGTACAATATAAAGCGCCTTGAGGCGATCTGTTGTTGTGATTTGGCGCTAGTATAAATAAAACTGAATTGAATTGAATTGTGAGTCAGTAACAGTCTAACAACAATGTTCAGCTGCTCTGATGGAAGACGGCTTTAAAATGGACTTTCATTATATACAGGACACACATGGACAAGATGGAGTCCATCAGTAGTGTGTGGTTGTGTTTATGCAGCTCAGATCAAATCATCACTAAATGTTTCCTTCTTATTGTTCCAGTGTTGCTCCTCTGAGGTCAGATCTTCATGAAGCTGTTTTTGTGAATCTGTTCTGTGCAGCAGCAGAGAGAGAACAGCAGACAGGAGAGAAGATGCTGGAGCTGTTATCATCAGTGTGCAGATATGAACGATTGCCCCTTAAAGAGAAATGGTGTGATTTTCTCATGGACCTGTACTCTTATGAGACTAAAACAGGCTTGAGTGTCCTTCCATCATTACAGTCAGTTTTCCAGTCAGCTCCTGCAGTCTGGTCCATAAACCTCTCAGAGAGAAAGACCTCCATCCTCCTGGAAGTGCTGAAACTCCAACCAGAGAAGAAACAAGTGGAGCTGACAGGCTGCTCACATGAAGAGAGTGAAGTACTGAGTTTCCTTCAGTGTCTGCCTTATATCTCACAGCTCAGGTAAATTAATTCTACTTTACATGTTGAATTCTGCATCAGGAGAGCTGCTCTGAGGGAACCACAAAAACTGGCAATTATGGAATGGAAACAGTTTGGGGGCACAAAGCTATTTTTTTAAATACCCAAACATTCTGGCTTGATGACACCTAGTTCAAAATAAAACATTTATTTTGATTAATGGCAGTTCCTTTCCCCAGATAGATTAGATTCATATAGAATCACTCTATGCTGAGAAAACATTCTTAAATCATTGTGTAATTTCCATTTCTGCAAGAAGGCAGTCTTGCAGTCGAAATGCTCATGTTTGGAAAACATATGCTCAGCTTTGGGGTCAGCTGGCTTGGGTGGCTTAGGAGACTCAGACTCAGGGGTTCAGGCCCATGATAAACAGTTTCTATGGAGCCAGCTTAGATTTAGACATAGAAACAACAGCCTGGACAAGGCTGGGCCTGGCTGCAACAGTGACCTTAGGTGAGGAATGTGACAACGCCATTTCCTCTCAGAAGTGGCAGCTGTGACCAATGGGTAGAGAGTAGAGTCCAAGGTAGTTGCAGTCCCTCATCTACCCTTGCCAAAGGTAAATAAATCAGAACTTTTCTGAAGCCTCCTCCCAAATTGTCAACGTTGCTTCCGTATGTTCAGGGCTCCAAGTGCGGCTTGCCCATAAGTGGTTGCTGGGTGCATTACTAGCCAGAGTGTACTATAGTGTTTTGCAGTATAATCACCCAAATGCAGATTGGAAGACGGGCAAAAGTGAAATGAAAATGCACCTGTAATAACTGTTGATATGAAGCCCACAGTAGAATGTCCATAAGAAGAAAAGACAAACTAAAGCCAACAAATAAACATGCTTTAACCAAAGACAACGTGGGAAATACAGTTATGTCCATATATATTTGGACACTGACACAATTTTTTTTACATGTTTACTGAAACATATCCCAATTATAGTTATATAATGGACATGGACATAATGTGTAAACTCTCAGTTTTCATTTAAGGACATCCACATTCAAACTGGATGAAGGGTTTAGGCGTTTCAGCTTTTTAACATGTGCCACCCTCTGTTTATAGGGACCAAAAGTAATTGGACAATTGATTCCAAGGTTAATTCATGGGCAGGTTTCTTTGTTATGTAATTATGAATTAAGAAGATAAAAGTCCCGGAGCTGATTTGAGGTGCTTGCATGTGAAAGATTTGGCTCTCAGTAGATTGCCTGCAGTCAAATGAGCTCTCCATGCAGGTGAAACAAGCCATCCTTAATCTGTGACTACAGAAAAAACACATCTGAGAAATTGTTACAATATTAGGAGTGGTGAAACCTACGGTTTGGTACATCCTGAAAAAAAAGAAAGCGCTGTTGAACTCAGCAAAAAGACCTGGACTTTCACGGACGACAATAGTGGTCGTTGATCGCAGAATCATTTCTGTGGTGAAGAGAAAGCTGAAACCAATATAATGGAGAATGTTTTTAATTAGGCTGTGCCTCAAACATTTTAAATACAGTAGTTATAAAAGCAGCAAAGTTCTGTGATATTTTGGTTAATTATTTCTGCAACATTAAGTAATAATTTTTTCCATAAAACCATTGTTGTACTAGTTTAAATTGTAATATTTACTTATCATCATTATTATATTTATACCATGACTTTATCTACGCAAGATGCTTTACCAAGAGGGATTCAAATGTAAAACTACAGTATTTTTATGTATTTATATTTAATTAAATATAAGAGTTAAAGTCCCCAGTATGATAATAGTCACAAGATAGAGGGCACACCAAATGTATAATTTAAAGAGCTGGGTACTCTGTATGCAGCATACACATAAATGACAATCATGACCCAGTTTTCAACCCTAATGATGCAAGAAAGCAGCAGTCTCATCCATGAGGAAAAACTCTACTAATATACAATCACTGAACTGTGGGGATACTGTCACTACATTCAAAATGTACCTTGTCTTTTCATGAAATACTATCAATACTCTTTTTTTTTTTTTTCCTTTTTCTTGTTCCAGTTTTTTTACTTTATGGGCAGATGAAGGAGGAAGGTTTTTTGGGGATCTGTTCTGTGCAGCAGCAGAGAGAGAACAGCAGACAGGAGAGAAGATACTGGAGCTGTTATCATCAGTGTGCACATATCAAACATTCCCTGTTAATGACACATATACAGATCTTCAATATCAGTGTGACTTCCTGCTGGATCTGTACTCTCATGTGAAGGACTGTGAGACTAAAACAGGCTTGAGTGTCCTTCCATCATTACAGTCAGTTTTCCAGTCAGCTCCTGCAGTCTGGTTCATAAACCTCTCAGAGAGAAAGACCTCCATCCTCCTGGAAGTGCTGAAACTCCAACCAGAGAAGAAACAAGTAGCTGACAGGCTGCTCACATGAAGAGAGTGAAGTGAGGAGTTTCCTGCAGTGTCT